CAAACTGCCAGCCCGCTCGAACCCTACGCCGATTTCTCCATCATGGCGGGCAAAGTGCCGCTTCAAGCGTGGTAGGATCTACGGCCCCTGTTCATAGAGCCAGGACACCGGGGAAGGTTTGGGATCAAGCACGGACATGTCACACATGTTGGAATCACAGCACCCAGTATTTTCTTTGATCCCGAACCTTCGGATGTCAGAGTTGCTCTGCCCGGCACTGCGAGCCTCTGCTCGTTTCTTCATCTGTTCTTCAGTGGGCCGGATGCTAAATTGCCCTGAGTTGATTAACTCGTAGAGCGCAGCATTGGAACCAAGCACTTTGGTGAGACCGTCTGCTGGCATTGCCAGATGGTCCACCCACTTGACCTGTCCTCCAAGCTCTTTCAGATCTTGTCGGATGATCTGAATCTCAATTGCGGTTCTCTTATCTTGACCGCCTAAACAGTCTTTTGACAAGTGGTCATACAGCGATTTCGCATCGACCACTGCTAGAGACTCTTGCAGGCCTCGCTCACTTAGCTCCGAGCTCATCACCAGGAGCTCCTCACCCTCCAGCCGGCTGCGCCATGCCTTGATGTTGAACGTGCCGTCGGTCAGCTCTTGCACCATGACCATGATCCACAACAACTCGGCCAGACCTCGTGACAAACTTTGTGTTTCTGCCGCCAAGGTCGAATTGACGATGCGCTGGAGCTTGCCTGATCTCCATGCCAGAACATTGGTGCTCACAGCAGCTCCATCGCGAAGGTTGTTCTCATGGGCCAACACGAGGTGTCCACCCTGTGAGTGGAATCCTGCGTTCGCGAATGAAGCGTCGGTCACCACACTGAGCCGCATCTTCTTCAGCGGTTGCACTTTCAGGCTCAGACTTGCATGGGCTTTGAGCTCTGCCACCACCTGGTTCAGCTGGATTATGTCCTCGATGGTCAGTTTGGAGAGTTTGGACGCGATCAGGCTTGACGGTCCCGAGGCATCTGGTCTTCCTTCTCGACTCAACCAGTTGAGCGCTCCACAAGTAGCCCTCGCTGCGCCGACCTCTGCCTCGTTGGCCATCTCCTTTTTCTGACCCTTTCGCCCCTTCTCCAGGTTCACCGGGTGAAGCCTCTCCTCGATGAACTTCTGCATGTCCACCAGGAAGCCGCCATCTGGTAGTTGACGAACTCGTCGGCCATTAAATGCGCATCCATCCTTCTCTTTGGACAGCTGCACGTACTTGCCAAAGACGTACTTTTTCTTCAGCTGCTCCATCTTATCGTGGTGCTCTCGATGTCCGACTGTGAACAAAAGTCGTCCACCTCGATGGCGATCGCCCCCAGCAAGCGCTTGCGGGTTCGGTCGTAGAGCTTCATGATGCATGGGTCTAAGGCCGACATCTCGTATCCTAGGGCCTTCAAGTCATCAGTGAGGGACTTCCGCCAGTGCAGTGGAGCGTCGACCAGCCCGTAGCAACCCGCAATGATCTGGACAATCTGCTCGGGGTGCAGACCAGTGACTCCCTCCTTGGGCTGCTGGAAGTATAGTCGCCCTTTTGGTCGGTGAAGCGGTTGGCTTTGGCAAAAGGCATTCTTCAAGTCTCCCACCGTGGCCTCCATGTTCTCGTTGGCCGCAATCTGCAAGAGGACGTTGAAGTTCACCGTGTTCAAGGTTGGAGAGAATCGCTCCAGGTCGAGTATGTCGGGGTCCAAGTCGCCCCTGATGCACAGCCGCGACTTCTTCATGGCCGGTTCTCCTGGCTGTTCTCCAGGTTTGTATCTTCGTGCAATCTTCGTTGGCAGGATGCGATCTTCTTGCCCCTGGCTCTTCAACTCCTCTCGGATTTTCCTTGACTCAGCCAGGTCGAGCACCTTCACCGCCCCGCTTTGCGTGACCTTGTTCCACTCGGAGAGGTCCGCGAGCTTCCATTCTTGTTGGTCTTGGGGGCTCTCCTTTGCTAGGTGCACCTCATCTGTCCCTTCTTCTCCGCCACGTAGTTCTTCGCCTCCGTGATGTCCCGGATGTAGAACACCGTCTTGCCCTTCCACCAATCGTCTTGGCTCCTTTTCTGCGGCCGTTGCCAATCATCTTGTTCCATGTCCGCGCTAGCCGCTCTTTTCACATGCGTGTCCCGACGCTCGGATAGTAAAGTCCAGGGCACAGGCGCGTCGGAGTTGAGCTTCGGGTCAAACTTGGCCTTCCTCTTCCTCCGATGATGCCTGGTCATCGTTCCCGCTTGCCAGTCGAGGGCCATTCGTCTTTCTCTGCTTTGCCTCGAGCCAGTTGGTGTAGCTTTGTTTGCCGAGCCTTGTCCACCTCTTCGTGAGCCTCCTGTTCCTCGGCGAGAAACCATTCTTTTGTTCCGAAGTATGGTGCGAGGTGATCATGGCCGGCCCTTTGCTGCCATCGGTAAATAGGTCCGGAGATTGGACCTGGTACTCCATCAAGCCGGTTGGCGTTCAGCTCTGATTGCCTCAGGGCCTCTTGTACTTGTGCGGACTGTGGATCTATTGGAGGTCGATGGAGGTTCACTGGCGGTGTTTCTGGCACCCCCTCCGGGAATCCCGGATGATGTTTGGCCTCTGTCTTGCTTGCCTCACTGCTCGCCCGTGAGATGGGGGCTTCTTCCTGTTCTGGCTCGTTGATGGATCTTCTTCTCTTTGGTTGCAGGGTGTCTTCCGGCTCTTCATTCACTTCCTCTCCAACCTGCGTTGGGGTGTATTCCACCTCTTCAGCGGCATCTTCGAATCGAGGATGTCGGGCGTGTTGATCTCGAGGGGATTCTTCTTCTTCTTGCTCCGGAGGAAAATCCTCCTGGGTAATGTCCTTGTACCCCAGCCGATGGGATCCTCTCTTGAACTCCTCAATCAACTCTTGGCACTCTTGCACGACAGCCTCAATGCCCGTTTTCTCGTCGTTGGTGGCCGGCCGACACTGTTCTCGAGCTACCTTCCATAGTTCTCCCATCATCGAGACCCACAGGTTTGCGCCATCGGGAGCTATGACTACTCCCGGGCCGACCCATCTTGCCTTCGTGGAGATGGCTGCATCGTCTGCTGGGCCTCCATGCTTCCTCTTCTTCATTCGGGGCACCCGGAACACAAACACGTACTCGCCGGCCTTGTAGTCCACCCACACGCGTGGACGAGCTCGTAGGGCTCGCCGGAACGTGCTCTTGGCATTGTGCTCGCAGAAGGCCTTGTGTGCGATGGTCCGCATGTGGTGCAGCTTCTCGAGATCGTCGGTAATTACCCCGTTCAACAACGTAGGGTCCACTGCCTCGTCGGACATAATGGATGTTGGAAGCCTGGGCCATTGTCCGATCTGCCGTTGAACCGGTGCGAAGCCAGATCGGTTTGAGTATCGGTTCTTGGCCTGCTCGACCTCCACCATGATTTGTTTGAGGTCTCTCGTGCTCTGAATCACAACTTCGCTTCTAACCTTCTCCAACAGCTCCTTGAAGTGGCCTCCGTGGCGTTCGGTTTTGCCCTGCTGCCATGGGGCTTTGGATGCGATCTGATGGATCACGATCCCTTCGGAGGCCGCTCTTTGGATGAACTCCCCCAGGAACTCCCGGCCAGCGTCACAAGTGATGACCTCCGGATGTCCAAACGTCCGGGCCCACGTAGACATGTAGGCTTCCCACACTTCATTTGGGCTCTTGCCTGAGAGGACCTCACACATCTGGTAGTTCGTGCCCCAGTCTAGGATGTTGAGGACCGGTACGGTTTGTTTGCCGTTCCCGGGAGCTGGCACATAGAACAGATCCAGCCCCAGCACCCGATTGGGCTGATATGCCCTTGGCAATGCCGTGGGTCTTGGAGCCTTGGGATGCCTCTTCGACTCGCACACGTCACATTTGAAGTTCTTTGATGCCCACTGGACGATCTCTCCTCTCACTCGGGCGGCCCGAAGGAACCGGATAAACTCCCGGTCTTGGGGATGTCCCACAGCCCGGTGCACCCGCATCACGGCCTTCTTCTCCTCCTCCGTGGGCGTGTAGTCTCCAGGCCCTTCATCTTGTACCGGCTCAGGCTCATCTGGAGCCATGTCTTCGTCTTCCTCCTCTTCTTCCATGGCATAGTTGGAAATGCCGTTCAAGTACTCGACGATGCCGTTCGAGATCGCCTGGCACAGCTTGTCCGGGTACACCTGCGCCAGCTTCGGCCTTCCATTCTCCAGCGGGACATGGAAGTGGCTCTTGTCGCACTTAACGTCCAGGAGCTCCAAGACAGGCGACATGTTGGAGAGCCACCGAGTTCTCTTTCTGTTCGGGCCCGTGCCGTCCACGTTCAATCCGAACATGCACTGGTCGCAGATGACCACCTTGACCCCGCTGCTGTTCGCGAGGGACTGCAGTTCTGGATCTTGCCAGGAAGTGGCCCCGTCAGGGTGTTCGAACAGTATGGCACCTCCTCTTCTCAGCTGCCACCGCAGCACCGCGATTGCCAGGTGTAGATGTTCTTGTCCCGTTTGAAGTAGGTGCACCCTCTTCTTGGGATCCATCCGGCTCCAGTTCACGGCCTGCATCTTGCTGTACGCCCTGCATGGTGGACAAGCCAGTATTACCTCTGGCTGCTCTTCTCGCAAAGCTTTCCACATAGCCTTCCGGTCTTCTGGCCTGCTTAAATCCCAGCCGGTCACGAGGTCAAAGCTTGTGCCCACTTGGTATCCCTTCTCCTTCAGGATCTTGGTGACCCGAGGTGGGCAAAACACTTCTGAGAGGGCCCTTCCTTTTGGGCCCATCTTCTTCATCATGGCCATGAGCATCTGCCTGTCCTTCCGAGAGATGTGGGTGCTCTTGGAGTCCTCCCATAGGTTCTGGAACTCGCCTCTTTTGGAGTGTCTGATCTGCACATAGACCTCGTTGACCTCCTTAGGGATGGTTCCGGCACTCTCAATCCATTCTCCGGTGGAGTTCTTCATCCAAAAGTTGCCGTGGACCTCCAGCAGCGAGTTGTTTCCTTGCTGAGCTTGGCGAGCCCAGCGCACAGTGCTCCTCGTAGCGCACCTCGTCCATCCATCCTCTAGCCGTCGAACTCGTCCACATCCACCACCGGCACGTTCTCCGCCCGGCTGCTGTTCACGGACACCTGGCACCAGCTGTTCCCCACCGTTGGAGCTGACGCTGGGGCCTCCCTCTTCGGACTCTTGGACCTCCTTGGGTTCAATGATGAGGCCGCCGTCTTCACCTCGTCGATGTCGGCCTGGTCCCTCTCGTCGATCCATTCGAAGAGGTCGCAACGACGTTGGACACATTTCCAAAACATGCGTCCCTTCCTCGGTCCGTCCTTCTTGACGATCAGAGCCTCGGCTGGCTTCCCGCATAGGCAGTGCTTGGTCACCTTTGGTGGGGGTGACCGCCTCGAGCTTGCTCGGGGATCGTGGGTTGCCTCCGGGGTCTTGGCCTGGATCAGCATCTGCATGAGCTTCTCCTGCCTGATCTCTTGCTCGCGGTTGGCCACAGTGGCTCTCTTCACCTCTTCCGCGATCTGCTGAAGCTGGACCGCGTTCATCTGGGACTGCTGAATGGTGGAGGCCGCCTGTTCGTTCCCCAGCTGCTGCAGCATCATCTGGGCATGAGTGCCCATTTCGACCCTCAGATCCTGCTTCATGGCCATCAGAGCCTCCAAAGTCTCTCCTCCAGATGGAGGGGTGGCCAACACCGCATCGTCCAGGATTTTCCCCTCGCTCCTCAACGGTGTCCTTGGTGCCGGAGTGGATGTACCCGGGCTCGTCGGCGATGTAGGTTCCCCCTTCGGGTTCTTCAGGCTCAAGGGGCCGTCCTTGATCTTCTTCTGGACATCTGCTGCCCGTTCGGAATGGGCCCATCTGGTATGGCACGCTCGGCGCACTATGTACGAGCTCGAGCCATTTCCGCCCCCTTTGAGACTCGATTTGGGATGCACGCAGGTGCTGGCGGAAGTCGTAGGCGCATTCTTGCTCTGGAGCGGCTTCAAGACCTGCGCACGCACGATCACCTCCGAGTAGTAGTCCGCCATGGTCTCCAAAGACTTGCGCCCCGGCCGCTGCGAGTCCAAGTCCAAGCACCATTCGTCGGTTGCGCCCTGGAGTGCTGCGAGGACCAGCAAAATGCCGATTTTGTCCAGGACGATTCTCCAGTTCTTGATCGGTACACGAGGATTGTGCACCCGCGGCCCGACTTCCATCGGCACTGGATCCGTGGAAGGAGTAGCGCCCACCAAGGCCTTGGCCTTCTTCAGCAGCGACGCCATGTGGTGGTGATGGGCGAGAGGCGTCTTCGGGCCAATGATCGAATTGAGCGTCGGCCAAATGTGATTGAGCCGGCATTGCTGTGGTAGCAAAACAACGTGACTCCAACTCGAACTCCCCTTGCGTGCCGGCTTCCGATGGAACCAAAAACTTGCCCTCGGCGAACGACATGACGTTGACCGCGACGTGACCGCTTGCGAGCTCGCGGAGTGGTAGAAACACTTGATGTGAGGGGACCTGCATGACCATGTTCTTCAAATCGATGACCACCTCCAAAGCCTTGAGAAGTTTGACGGGAAGTAAAAACGGCACATCTCCTTGGACTACGGTGGTCTCCAAAACACCATTGATGCCTCCGAGCCCCAAAGGAATCAAAGCAACCCCTTCGACCACCGCATTGCCTCCTACTCCCTTTGCAAATGATTGCTTGGGGATCCACTTCACTCGTAGACCACGACCGGCGAGTTCCCGTTCGAGTCGAAGAAGAGACTCCTTCCCAATCAAACCACCCTCAGCGGCTGTATCGACTATCCCCTCGATCGCTTGGGTGGTAATGCCACAAAAATTCACCTTCCCCTCCTTGACCATACATGCCCGCTCCATGTATCGCTTCGAGGGGTTGGCTTCCATGTCAATCTCCGCCGAGGCCTCTTGTCGGGCTCGACTCTCCTTCACAAACTGTCGCAGCCAAAAATCCTGCTGCGAACTGGAAAAACTAGTGCTCTCAGGACGTAGTCCCACATAGAAGGTGCGGCCTTCTCCTTTTCCCGCGCTGCTCGCCGGTGGATTTTGGCACTCCCTTTCCCAGTGCCCCACTTGCAAGCACTTTCTGCACCTTGTACGAAGCTTCAACTGCTCGATGTGGACACGGCGTTTGCCCTTGTCTTTTCCTTTCTGAAAGGCGTTGAGCTTGCCTTTTCCTTTCCCAGGGAAGAAGCCTCGCCCCAGGCGTTGATCTTTCAGAGCTTGACGGGTGTCGTTGTAGGAGGCCAGGGCGTTCAACACGTCCTGTTCGTCCATAACCTCATCCAGGTCTCCATCGGCCAAGAAGATGTAATTCTCGTCGTCGTCCTCCCAAGCAGCGGCGCCATCGCCGTCAGCCTCATAGTTGATGCCGGTGTCATTCTCCAGGACGTAGGTCTCCTCGGCGACATAGCTTCCCCTGGGCTTATCCTTCTCCTTGATGACCTTGTCCAACCGTCTCAAGGCCTTGGTGATCTCGCCACGACCGTATTGGCCTTCAGCCCAGGTCAACAACCGTTGATCTTGGGCTTCCGTGAGTGAGGCCTGCCGGTATAGGATGTATCCTTTTGCCCCGTCTGGCAGGTCCACGCCCTCCTTGGTCAGGTGGATGAAGGCCCGCTCCATCCTCTTCGTGTACTCCGCGAACGACTCCTTGTTTCCTCGTGGTGGCCCATAGACCGCAGTCTCGAAAGCCCTCGGCAAGGAGACCTCGAGGTGCGGCAAGAAGTACTCTCGGAGCTTGCCCAACACGTTCTTTACCCCCTGCTCGCATGCGATCTCGGAGATCTCCATGTCGTCCACGGCCGTCATTGCCACACCTGTGAGTTGGCGCAACAGCTTGATGCCTCGCTTCTGCTTTGGCACCTCAGTTTCGAACTCCCACAAAGCCACCTGCTTCTCATACTGGCGGAACGTCACTTCCGGGTTCTCCCCGTCGTAAGCAGGTGGTGGGTCTCGATCCCTCGGTGCCGTTTCTGTCCTCCCTGCCTGACCACCAGTGCTAGCTGCCGCAAAGCCGCCACCAGCTCGTCGGGGTTCGGGTTCTCCATCGCTCATGGCCTAGCTTCTGCCACCTGGATTCGTGCTGACCGGGCTCCGCGGTACCACTGACAAACTTCCAGCCCGCTCGAACCCTACGCCGATTTCTCCATCATGGCGGGCAAAGTGCCGCTTCAAGCGTGGTAGGATCTACGGCCCCTGTTCATAGAGCCAGGACACCGGGGAAGGTTTGGGATCAAGCACGGACATGTCACACATGTTGGAATCACAATAACATTATATAACATCTTGATGTTATAATTTTCATGTATATACAACTCACATTGGCTTCATTTATTGGGATTCTTGTGCTGCTACTTTGCGTGAACTCTCTCGATAGGGACGGGACCGAAGGGACCGACGACTGCGGTCCACCCTGACCGAAGCTCCCTTCTTGTCTCCCTTCTTGCGCTTCTTGTTGATGTCTCAAAAAGTGGACTTGGGAATGCTTCGTTGTTGTGCCACCTGTTTGGGGTCTACGGTGGTGTAATGTTTTTCCCAGGTGGTCAGGTAGTGTCATGTTAATTGTCCTGTATTTGGGTGGCCCATACGAAAAGGTTTTACAATCGGGGCGGGACGGGATATTAATCAACAGTCTACATTAAGGCCTGGCATTGGTTGAGTGATGTGGTTCCCGGAGCATACCCAATTTGGGGCTTTTGTGAGGCTTCTTCAAGTCAGTAAGTTCTTGGAAACCCTTGAAATGGTCAAGACGCCATCGAAAGGACTCAACACTGGATTCCACCGGCATCAGGGATTGCGTTCAAGTCCTTGCAAGGGCAATGTTAGCCGTTCTCTTTCAATGAAGGATCCCCACGACATCTTGCAGGCGGATCTAGCATCAGTCAGAAGAAGGGAGACAAGAAGGGAGACAAAAGGAAACAGAAGGGAGACAA